TTGTCATTGAAATACGTCCATGCTTCAGCATCAGACGGATGTACCATCTTCCCAGGATTGTACCATTTGCCATCTTTGTGCCATGTCATCTGTTTCATGGATTCCTCAGTCATGAATAGCCGTTGGATCCTCGGTAGGAAAGGAAGGTGACGTAGCACTCTCGCAGGGATCGGAAGCTGCTTCTTCTGACCATCACCAGAGTCTACCTCTAGGTACCTGGAGGATTTACACTTCGGACAGTAATTTGCATCCTTGTGTTCTTTCCTAAATAGGACGCACCCCTTCGGACAAACATGTATCTTGTCATACGGCATCTTAAGCATACGAAGGAGTTTCTCTGCCTTGTACAAGTTCATCGGCAAAGTGTGCTTCTCCGGTAGCATGGTGCCAAACACGGCCAACATCTTATCGAAGCCTTCTCGACTCAGGTTTAACTCGGCCTTCAACCCCATTACACGTCCAATCGCATCTAGCTGAGAAATCATTGTACGCTCGTGAAGGGGTTTCTGTGCCGAGTCCAACATTTTGTAGAAGTCCTTTGCGGATTCCTCCATCTCCTCCTTCTCACGTCGTTCAGTGAAGTGAGCTTGGTGGGCGTCATCTAGCATGTCTGCTACCCCAGCATCATCATCAAAAGCCTCGAGGCATGCTCTCACCACCTCCGCTCTTATACGATCTGCTTCACCATGGTAGATCCACTGCTGGTAGCCAGGCGTATAACCATTGAACACAAGATGTCTACCCATGGTCTTCTCGTCTACTTTTCTCCTGTTGTCACATTTGTTGCAGGGACACCAAACTAGAGAATGTCCTCCTGCTCCTGGGCCAAATGCATGTTTCAAGAAACCATCTGTCCCCTTCACCCATTCATAGTCGTAGTCACTCCCGCTTCTCCAGCCCGTGTACATCCACTGACGGTCCTCCATCCTTTAACATTTATAGCATAGAGTATTGTGACCATCAATTGCATCTACGCGGTGTTCCTACTATCTAATAGGTGAGGATAGGTCCTAATCCCACCCGCGGATGCATAGATGAGGTCAGTTTCCATGCTCCACTCCTCTCTGAGACAGAATTTCGGCAGCACCTCCCCGCTGTTCACCCGATACACGTCCTACAAGGGAGAGTGTGTATCCGGAGAACAACAGGGAGGTGTTGCCGAAACTCCTTCTCGGACCGGAGCGGACCATGGAAACTAACCCATCTACGCATCCATGGGCTGTCCAAAAAACGTGGACAATCCGAAACAGATACGGTCGTAGATATGCAAAGATCCGCATACCTACGACCGTATCTCTTTCGGACAGGAGACGCCTAACTGGGTTACGCGCGGGCTACGATAGACATGCGCAAAAAGAGGTTATTTATACCTAGGGTGTCGGTGAAGTAAGGCTAGCGGGGTAGTGGCGAATTGACGCAGTGGCGAGGCGACGCAGTGTAGGCAGAACCGTGACGTCGACGAAGATGATCGGGGTCCTCCGGGTCCCCTCCGACGTACTCTTCTCCTGCATAAAAAGACAATAGGTTATTTTTTGTTCAAAATTTCGGCAGCACCTCCCCTGCATGGGGAGGTTTCCAAAACCTGCAAAAAACGACATGATGGCCGACATTCACAACGGCACGAAGGCCAACAACCACAACGGCACGATGGCCCTCATATCAACTTACGGCACGAAGGCCCACACAACCACATACGGCACGAAGGTCGACAACGAGAGTTTTACCTAGGGTTGTGGTGGAGTCGGGCGTCGTGGTGCGGGGGTCACTTTCTTCTCCGACGAGGTCGAGCGGCGTTGGTGTACTCCTCTCCCCCTCTTCCCTTTCTTCTATCCTTTTCCCCTTCTTCTCCTTCTCTCCCCCTTCCTCCTTCTCCTCTTCTCCTTCTCTTCTTCCTCCAACTTCACCCTCTGCCTCCTCCCCTCCAACAGCAGTCGGCGATGGGGGCGGCCTAGGGGCTAGGGTCGGGGCGGGAAGGCCGGCGAGGGGGAGCCGCCGAAGGGCCAGCCGGGGCAGTCACCTCCCCTTGCTCGACGGAGATAGGAACGGAGGCAGGGCGCGACCTCGGCCACCACTGGGCGTGGTGGGGCGGTGGTGGGGCGGTGGGCCACTGGTGGCTAGGTGGTGTGTTGGGTGGCTAAGCGTGGGGCGGCAGGGGTGTGTGCAGAGTGGCCCAGCGGTGGAGGCGCTGGGCGCCGGGGCTACCAGTCGGCTCAGGCGGCACAGGAATTGTGGCTAGCTAGCGGGCGGTGATGATGGGAGGCCAGCAAGGCAAGGTATGCAGAATGGCAGCGCAGCAAGGGTGTGCCAAGTGTGCCCGGCGGTGGTGGACGGGGGGGGGCCGGCGAGCGGCGGCGCGTGGGAGGGAGATGGTCGAGCGTTTTTTCACAATTCCGATCGGGAATTTGGGCTGCTGACCCGATTAGGGTTCGGTCCTTTGCCGAGGGCCCAGATCCTGACCCTCGGCAAAGATTTTTATTTTTATTTTAAAATTCTTTTGCAGGCCCACAGGCGAGCCCTCGGCAAAGAGCCCTCAACAATTTTTTGGTTTTTAGCCCAGTTTTTTTTTGCTGTGGTGCTACAATACATTGTTTTTGAACTCAATTCTTTGATTTTTTAAAATTTAGGCCAATTTTGATTTTGTTTTATATATTTCCTTAATTTATTTTGATTCTTTGATTTTTTTGAATATCTCACATGTGATTTGCAAGTGCATGGAATATTGCAATGTAAGTGTTTGAGAAAAAATTTTTATTCATGTTACACACATTGATATCCACGATGACATCTCGCCAAGTTTCTTGATTTTTTACCACTTCATATGGATTTTATATAAGTAATTTTAATTTTCAGACTTATACATTTTTTAAAACACTTTTGGCAAGTCGGTCGTCATGTTACGCTTACAACAAGATGCGTGAAAATTTGATGCAGTTCGTGGATAGGGACTCAACATGCACCAATTAACATGAATAACATTTTTCGAAACACTACATTGCAATATTCCATGCACCTGCAGTTCAAATTTGACATATTCAAAAAAAATCAAAGAATCAAAATAAATTAAGGAAATATACAAAACAAAATCAAAATTGGCCTAAATTTTAAAATTGAGTTCAAAATAATGTATTGTAGCACCACAAAAAAACTGGGCTAAAAAAACCAAAAAAAAATTTGCCGAGGGCTCTTTGCCGAGGGCCTGGCCCGTGGCCCTCGGCAAAGAATTTAAAAAAAAAATAAAAAATCTTTGCCGAGGGCCTAGCCTCGGGCCCTCGGCAAAGGCGATTTATAAAAAAAAATTTGGCCGAAAAACTGGTTTTAAAAAAATCTTTGCCGAGGGCCTGGTCTAGGGCCCTCGGCAAAGACTTAAATTTTTTTTCTTGCCGAATAACCTGGTTTCACAGAAAAAAAAACCTTTGCCGAGGGCCTAACGGGTGGCCCTTGGCAAAGCTTGACGGGGAATGGCCGCCGTGACCCAACGGGCCTAATTTGCCGAGGGCATCTTTGCCGAGGGCCGCGGCAAAGATTTGATTTGCCGTGGGCCTGTCTTTGCCGAGGGCCGTTCTTTGCCGAGGGCTCCTGTGGCTGGCCCTCGGTAAAGAGTGTCTTTGCCGAGTGCCCGAGATTTGGCCCTCGGCAAAGACTCAGGCCCTCGGCAAAGCACGCGTTTCCAGTAGTGCATGGCGTTACAATTAAAACTACCTCAAACAAGACAATATCCATGCACAATCCATAAATTATAGCCTAGTACTTCAATGTTGATTGGGTTGTATCTGACAATTTCTATGTAGTACTTATCATGACATGCCTTTATGCCACTATCACCAAACTATAGCCAAAAGAGGGGAGAAAGTAAAGCAAACATGTCTGGACCAGAATTATTTAGATAATGACCCACCCCACTCAAACAGCTTTTGAAGCTAGCAGGATCCCCAGGAGTCATGTAGCTTATGAAAGAGGGCAGCAGATTAACCACTGCAGAGTGCAGTGAATAAATCACTAAAAGCACAACAGAACATTTTTTCCGGAGTTACCAGCAATAGAACTATAGAAGATTTAAAACAACAACCTCAAAGGAAACTCCACTTGTGTTAAGTTTGATAACACAAGTATACATTTCTATCATCAGCTATAGCTAACAAGTGTTAATCCCTTCTAGGTACCGGATACAAATAATATGAGATTATCCACTGCACATTCAATTATAATCAGCTTCAAGCACAGCTAATGCTAGATTGTAGGCAATGATCCACGCATGGCACGGGTGTGCATGGAATTTTTTGCAAAACTGTCTCTAATGTGGCACCCAGATTTTGACAATACAAGTATACAACTCAATGACCCGCTAAGCAAATAGGTTCAGTCATATAAGATACTGGTTTCAAGATTCAGTCATAAAGTAGTAATGGAGGATAGAATGTATGATCAAGCATCACATGGTACAGAATAGCATAGTGGAAATTACGCTGCATTGTTATGCTAATTGTTACATAAAGGCCAGAATATGATTAAGAGAAGTTAACCGTCACGAGCATACAAGCAAGGTGAGCTCTAGAACAGGAGTACTGACAGTTCAGTTTCCCCCCACCAAATTCCATGTAACCCTACTTAATTGTTTGTGAACCAACAATTAGCTGTATGTAAAAAATTGTTAAGCGATTTTCTTATCATTCATAGATTAGCCAATCACCCTACATCCCAAAACATACACCGATACAAGAATACAATATGCACCGAACAAGAACAGTGGTAGCCTCGACTGCAATGGCATTCGCATCTATGCTAAAACCACCGCACAGGAATGCAACCGATGCAGCGGCGCTCGACTCTCATACCCTCCTGAACCCATGCTGCAGAGGTAGCAAAGCCCAACCCCATAACCCAATATCCCCTGCTCCACACAGCATCTAAAACGACACCCGCCGATCTCAGGACGCACGAAAACCTAGCCCGCCGCCACGCATCACGGGGACCGAAGAAAAAGGAGGGGAGGCGATCTGTACCATCGTCGAGGGGCACGAGGCACTCGTAGGAGATCTCGAACTGGAAGGGGTTGAGGAAGGCGGTGGGGTTGTCCAGCACCGCCACGTTGGTGATGTTCACCGCGCTCATCGCCGCCGACGGTAGGAGCCACGCGTGCTCGAGCAGAGGGGAAAAGACAAGAGAGCGAGCCGCGGCGGCGAGCTTGGTAGTTAGGGTTGAGGTACCGTCTCTGGATCCAAGCCCGCGCGGCCGCCGCCACCTACGGCTTCCTGCGAGGTTCCACCGTAGTCTCGTGTCACGAGCCACGCGTTTGCCGCCACCCGCGGCCTCCGCCGCCAGCTCGTGGTCGGAGTCCGCACAGCCACCACCGCCGCCCGAGGTCTCTGGCCAGATCCACGCGGCCTAGTCTCCCGGATCGGCGCAGACGCCGCCACCGCCCGCGGCCTACCTAGTCCATGCGGACACCGCCTCCTAGGCCTGGCTGTCCGACGCGGCTCCCTCGATCTACGCCGTTGCAGCTCACGGACAGAGGAGCATGGAGGCCGGCGGCACTGGTGTCATAGGGAGAGAGAGAGTGTGCGGAAGGAGGCCGGGGGCGGCAAGTGCGGGTGTCAAACCCTAGCTAGTGTGCACCCTCTGTTTTATATGCGTGCAAGTACACTGTAGCGCCTCTCGGGTGGGCAGAAAGGCCGGCGTGGCCTAGACCCAGGTTAGCTACTCGTAAGAGCATTTTTAGGGGCGGTTGGTGATTCAGCCGCCCCTACAAATAGACACAGCAGTGGCGACTGGTATCCAGCCGCCCCTACAAATCGGCGCATTTATAGGGGCGGCTCATATTACCAGCCGCCCTTACTGTGCCATTTGTAGGGGCGGCTGGTCTCTGGGCTTCTGAGCACGCCATTGTAGGGGCGGCTCCATCACCAGCCGCCCCTACAAAAAATTTATTCCGTTGCTAGCTACAAACCGTTTTTCACGTAGTGATGGTAACCGATGTTTTTTTGTTGGTTGCCTCATCCCAATCTTCCTTGGATCTAGACTCTGTTACGGCTTGCTTCAAACCCTCCGTATGATGGTGCTTCCTCTGGCCCTGGGGTTCTTGGTGGGCTTGGGGTTCTTGGCAACTTCTCCTTTTTTCGGTGGTAGCATCGGTAACGACGGGGAAGAGCCAAACAGTCTGTTCGTTTATTGGTTTCAGTCAGGATTTATCAGATAGCCAACAGTGTTTTTTCTCACAACAAACCAGCACCAGCCGGGCTTATCAGCCCAGAAATCAACTAGCGAACAGGCTCAAAGGCTGCATCCTCGGGTAGCTGGCGCAGAAGATTCCTAGGGCTTACTTACAATTTCTTTTTGTTTAGGTTCTTCGTTCTATGTACCTAAGCAGGTATAGACAGATGTTCCCTATGTACCCTTCTAGTGTGTTCTTGTGTATGTACTCTGTCGATCTATACATTTTCGTTGAAAAGTAAATCATGTTGGTCATATAAAAAAGTCCCATTATGGAGTACCGGGCTACTACTACGACAACTAAATAGCACGCTCCTGTCTGCTAGCTACCGCTGGTGCTACTGTAGGGTTGATTCATATTGTATTCGGATATGGCTAACACTATTTACCAAACTTTATATATCATTAAACATATGCTTTATATATCATTAATTATAATAGTAAAATTATCATAAATATAAGGTTTTACTAATTTAAATTATCATAAATATAAGTTTTAAAATTATCATAAATTAAATCAAGCCATTGTGAATAGCCATATAGATAACTTTTAAATAGTTTAAACAAGTTACATTAAAATAATTATCATTTGCTTTGTTAATTGTTCATAAATATGAGTTTTAGATGGTACATTCTTTTTTTTACTATTACACAGTAGATGGTACTTTATTGTTCATAGATACAAATAATATAAGATATTTCATAAATTTTCGTATATGTATTTAGAATTGGTGAGAGAAGAATCATAAAAATGGATTCGAATACATCCATTTAGCATCCATATTATTAAATATGAATACAGATATTACGCTAAAGTAGATACATATATCGGATGTTTAGACACGTGGATCCATCCCTAGCTACGGTAACAATTATCCATTTTTTATTTTGCAATTCCCCACTGGCTCTTCATATGCACATCGATGTCTTGAATTCTACACGATGCTACGAATCATTGTTGTCCTTTGTTTAAGATTTGTGGTTTTCTATAGCCGTACTTATGTGTACTACTGTGTTGCAAAAGTTGACAAATAAATTTGATGTCCATTATTGGCCATGTTCGCTCGACTTATAAGCCGTACTTTTTCAGCCAACAAACAGTATTTTTCTTTCATAACAAATCAGCCAACAGTACTTTCAGCCATGGCTTATCAGCCAAGCAAACAGGGCAATTGTTTCAGATATGTCGTTATCTAATCTTACTATTGTGGAAAATGAAAAGACATACCAATCAGTCTGTCTTTTTTTTAGATTTTTCGTTATCTACTAGTCCTATACTCTCCTGTAGAGAATGTATTGTCACACTATGTTTTGTCGTTTTTGTAGTCCTATACTCCTGTACAAAATGAAATATCGCATTTCTATCACAGCTTGTACTCCCACAATCTCTCGCTTACTTGATCACTCCAACCTTGCTCCGACTTTATTGTCTAATTATGTTTTTGAAAATGCTTGTCTATATTTACAATACTACTCTCTTCATTTCAACTTATAAGACATTTTAGAAATTTTTTCAGATATATAGTTTTCAATTTATAAGACATTTTATAAATTTTTTTCAGATATATAGTTTTCTGTTATATACTTAGGTATACATTATGTCTAGATATATAGTTAAAATGATGAATTTAGAAAAGCCATTTACAGAGGCCGATATTATAAAATGGTTTTTGTTAATGGACCATTTACAGAGTCCGTCGACCCATGTGTAAATCGATTAGTAGAAGCATATATAGCTCACCTATTAATACCTAGCCGCCTCTGTTAATGATTTCTAGAAAACCAAAAGATCTAAAAAGTGAGTGTTTTCTAGGATTTAAACCAATGATCTTTAGCTCACACAACACCTCTCTACTACTACACTACTATACACACATTTGTGAGTGAATATAGGATGCTATCCTTTTGTATTGAATATTTTGGCACTAAACTTTGTTGAACACTACAACTTTGGTATGCATGTCTCCATCCGACATTGTTTAAAAAATTGCAAAACTTTGAACCCCCCAAAATATGAGAACTTAAAATAAATATTTGAGACTCTAAACAACTTCAAAATAGAAACCTATCAACTACAAACTTCACTATCACAAAATTGATTTTAGGAGACAACTTCTTTTATTTATAGAACAGTCAAAATTTATGTCTGTCTCCAAAAATAGCTACCTATTTTTTGGAGATGGCCAGTTTATTTTCAGAGGCAACTCATGTCTATAAATTAATTAATAGAGGTGGGCCTTCTAAGATCTCTGCCTCTCAAAACAAAGTCTATTTTTAGAGGCGGGTTTCATAATCGGCCCAATCACTTCGAAACTCTATATCCAAGTCATGAACGCCTCTCCTAGTCTCTCATTTGTTTTGTTTTGAGGATTAGTCTTGTTTTAATAGTCTAACAAGATTTTGGCTAGCTTATAGTCTTTGTTTTTTCAAACTTAACATCTTACATGAAGCGAGGACGAAATTGAGAGAAAATTATAACGCATATCATTCTACGTAGGGTAAACATATAACCAAAACTTATGATGTTACATATGGTATTCAAAGCTAGTACTCTCGCTCAAATGTGTATGCCTCACAACCAGTGCAAGACATCGCTCGACCATGGAACAAAGGGAGATCTTGAGTAATTGTGCACCAGAGTTCAGTACCTTGCTATATTAGTGTTCCAACTTTGGCTCATTATGGGATAACTGTTGTGTTCTCATGAACTATCCCCCAGGGCTGTATAATAAATAGGTTTTCACGACAGATTATAATCCTATTATTCCAACTGTAGCATCTCTAGTTAACATTTTTACGTCAAGAAATGGTAAAACTATAAGAGAGGTGATATACATATATGAACCCATTCTATGTTGGAGCTAGGCTTAAACAGATTTGGATGTAGGATGTGATAATTCCCATGTGGGAAGAACCAACAAATGAAGAGTAAAATGCATGAGCGTGTTCCCTAAACTATAGATGTTATTGTTGTTGTCTAGGTCCTTGATCTATGAAATTGAACATTTGGATCCGTTATATTCTAAGTTCCCCACTGGAGTCTGATTGGTGTCTGTGTGGTTGAGTGGTGAGGTGGTGGGTAGTGGGGGCATGCTTTGTTTGCCACCATTTGGTAGAGATGTTTTATTTGCACTTTGGATTTGTGCTCATCTGTTGCTTCAATGTCCTGGTTCTCCCTCCACCTTCTCTTATGTCATCCCGACACCAACATTTGCCTATCATGATGCTATTCCAAACCCTTGCTCCCAATTTGAGTGGCTCAATTTTGATATCTTAGTCCAATTTGAATTTGGTACATGCTGGTCCATGTATGATTGTGTGGGTTAAGTTTCACCTTAGTTGTTGACGGTGAGTTAGACCAATATATAAGGTTTTGAGAGTCCATATCACCAACCTACATGAAAGCATGGACCAAAGAGTGAGGAAGTTGTTGAGTGTATGGTGTATTTTCTTGTTCATTCAGTTAGTGGCAATATCTTTGCAAATTCACTACTACAAAAAAAATTTATAGTAGATTTTTCATCGCTGATTTTTATAAAACTGCTTGTGATAAGTTTTAACCGCTAGTTTGTAAGTAGGTGGGCATAATGGTTGTAGGCACAGGTAGCGAAAATAGATTCCACCTCGATCTCCTAACCGTCCTCCATTTCCTTTACATCCATTTGAGTGCTCCTCGATCTCCTAGCCATTGGCCCGAATCAGTGTCGTTGTCATGCTGTCCATCTGCCGTGACTTCTAGATCGAGCAATTCCACGGTGGTGAGCTATTGAGCTGCCCCCCTACTCCTGATTCTTTGGGGAACTAGGGTTAGGGTTGCTTATTTAATCACGGTTCCTGCCATAATATCAATGTAGTGACTATCATAAAGGGCAAGAGATTGGGTAATATGAAAAGACTTTTCATTATCGGATTTCCTTGAGATGTCAATTCACAATCCATGTCAAGGTTGATAGATAGGAACCAGTTAAGGGTGCGTTTGGTTGAGCTGTGGCTTTTAGGAAAGCAGCCGTGAGCTGTGGCTTTTAGAAAAGCAGCTGTGAGATGTGGGCTGGGGGAAAAGCTAAAAGTCCTTTGGTTAAACAGCTATGGCTTCTGTAACCTGCAAGTGGACCTCGCTCGTCAGCCTCACACATAGTTTCTTCAACCTCTCGCAGGCCAACATCGGTCGGGGTGGAGCTTTCGCCCGTGTCCATCGGCAGGGCCATGTCCGCATCGGGGTCGGAGCAGTGGCCGCGTCCACGGAGAAGCATCGGGGTCGCGCATATGGGACAGGGAAAGTCGCGCGTTAGGGTCGCATCCACGGCCGGCCATGGAGAAGCGGGTCGAGGAGAGAGAAGCTCCTGCCGCGGTTAGGGAAGGCAGGAGGGGAGCCACGCCTGGCTCTGATGGCCACAGGCAAGGCGTTTTTGGCCACCGGTGCGGCCTTCCCGACCCCCGCCCCTACAACGTATCCGGCAGGGCAGACCAAAGTCAGACATGGGGCTGGGGAAAGGAACCGCGGGCGGAGCTCCGGCGGCCGAAGAACTATAGATCCGGGCGGGGGAGAGGCAGGCCAGCCGCCACCCTGGAACCACAGTGGTGGAGGCGCGCGGGTCATGGTGAAGGGGAGTCGTACGAGCGGGCGCCGCGGCTTCTATCGGTGGGGGCGGGTGGGGAAAGAATGAAGGGGTATTTTCCACTTTTCCGTGGCAGTGCGACAACTGATATATACTACACAATATTTTAATTTTTTCTCATTTTTTGACAACATTCTTGATGATCATACCATACATATGCACTGGGGACCAAAGTTCTGAGCGACAACTGATGTGGCACTGTTTACAACAAACACCAGGAACCGAACTCGCTCTCTCCCTATTCTCCATGCTCAATTATTTGCAAGCACCAACATACAACAGAGAAGCAACATAGCTAGTTCCTAGTAGGAGTTGAGGTTGGTCTGGCGCAGCCGCCGCTCGTCGGAGAGCATCTTTGCGAAGCGTGCAAGCGCGTCCTCGTTGGTGCCCTCTCCGGCGACGGCCTCGTACATCCCCGTGTCGATGTTCACTCTCGACACCGGCTTCTTGAGCAGCTGCTTCCCAATCCCAATCAGTGCCTCCATGTTCTCCTTCGTCGCGATGTCCACCGACGACGCATGGCCCGTTAGAGAATCATCCTACATCCAATTTTTTTTTTTTTTGTCGTATGAACTACTAATATAATGGATACATGGGAGTACGCCATTTACGTAGGTGGTCTCGGTTAATTTTAGTTACCAGTAGTAGTAGTTACCACGTACGTCGTACCTGAATGCGGAGGTAATTCTTCTCGCAATGGAGGGCCTCGAAGAGCACGGCGGCATGGATGTCGACCATGTCGGCGCTGGCGTGCGAGAAGATGTCGATGATGGGGTTGAACCCGCCCTCGTAGAGCCACTGAATGAGCCCCCACTTGGCGCACTGCGGCGCGGTGTACTTCTCGGCGAGCTTGGCGGACCCGGTCCCGACGGAGATGACGAGGTAGTTCCGGTACTCGGTCGGCTTCCCGGGGTTGAAGTCCGGGTTCCGGCGGAGCACCTCTTTGGTGAGCATGGACATGGCGATCATCGTGGGGTTGTTGGCCGCCACGCCGCCGTCGACGAGGTGGTACTCCCGCGGCGGCCGCCCGTCCCCGGGGCCGGGCTCCGTCGTGAAGTAGTGCGCGGGGAAGTAGGTGGGCGCCGCCGACGTGCTGATGCAGATGTCGGAGAGGTGCGCGTTCTTGAGGGCGTCGCTCTTGGCCTCGTACGTGGAGAAGATGATCGGCTGCAGGTACTTGACGTCGAACGCCGGCACCACGATGTTGGTGACCGTGTCCGCGATCCGCACGTCGTGCGTGAGGCTCTTGATCTTGTCGTGCAGGAACACGCCGTCGTACCTGGGACCCCTCATCGTGCCGATCAGGTTGGCCACCGGCGTCAGCCACCCCACCCTGCAGCAGCAGCAGCAGGGAGCATCATCAGCTATAATCAACGTCGGAAGATGGTTGGACGATATAACGGCGGTGAGGTTAGTACGTACTTTCTCTGTGGGAAGATCTTGGGGCCGTTCTCGAGGTAGAAGGTGGTGAGGTCCTTGGCGGCGAACAGAGGCCGCCGGTTCTCGTCCGGCGCCGCCAGCATCGATGTCAGCAGCGCGCCGGTGCTCGTCCCGGCGATCACGTCGAAGTAGTCGGCGATGCGTGCGTACGGCCCGTCCAGCTCCTGCGCTCAAATTAACCACGTACAAAGAGTGGGTCATTAACGAAGTTCCTGGCTTTTTGTTTGTGTTATTAATCCGTTCCCTGATGTGATGCTCATAGATAATATACCTGGAGCTTGGCCTCGAGGCAGGTGATGATAGTGGCAGGGATGAGCCCACGGATGCCGCCGCCGTCGATGCTCAGCACCGTGATGAGCCTCCCCTGCGACGGCGGTGGCTGCGGCACCGTCATGTCGGCGGCGGCGTCCGTGCCTTTGCTGGCCATGGTGAATGGGGGTATATTAGCGACCCCTTAGCTAGCTTGAGTGGACTGAACTGCTAGCAGCACCGAAGATCAAGGAGAGATCGGTTTCACAGATGTGCTAGCTCCTCGGATCTTGTGCTCCCGATCTGAAGCTAGCTATAGGCTACGGCGAGCTGGACTCTTCATATATATAGACCGTAAGGCCAGTCTCAGCGAGAGTTTTACGAGAATTTTATTTGTATTTAATAGCCTGTCACATATGTATTTTTAATAACATGACAACGTTTTAGTGAAGAAAGAGTTCTTTATATATGGACATGAGGGAGCCGTGTCAGACGAAACTAGCTGGCTGGCACGTGGCACGCGAATCTCAGATTCTCTCTCGATCGCGCTTTCATTCGTCAACAGATTAGGTGCTACATGTTCCGTGCCTTGGACTTTGGCAAGTTGGCATTGGCCATCGTCCCGGACTAGTAGGTTTTATAAATTCGGATTAATTAAAATAGAAAACACGCCATATGAGTGTGCTTCTTTTCTATATGTGGAGAATGGTCAACGTGATCGTCCTTTACATTCGAGAAAAAAAAATAATGTGAGTTACTTCACATTCCTGAATTTTAAGATGATTTTATATAACCAACTAGTACAATGAAAAGAAGATCTCACAAGAGAAATTTATAGTTGTTTTCTATAGCCAAACAATAACAAAATTACTTTTTGTGAAGAACAACAAAAAAATCAGCCACCTAAAATATATGAGAAGTGGCAATGAATAGGTCCTTTGCCTGCGTGTTTCGAGAGAATCCAGCGCTCAGCCGGCCAAACTAGTGTTAGATGGCCTATACAATTACATATGTGGTAGAGGAGAGGTACAGGAGAAGATGAGCAAAGCACAAGACTTAAAATCTAGTTGCAATTGTCTTCTTCTCTCCTGCCGGGACTGAGGAAAAATGTTACAACTACAGATATGTACGATTAAGGTCTTACGAGGACCCTTGTACATAACACTGCGAAAAGTTACCAACAAATAAATATTTATCATTTTACCGTACATTGTGATCGGATGTGTCCTATTATTCAATGACATAGGGTTTATACTGGTTCAGGCAACGTGCCCTACGTCCAGTTTGTGTCGGTTGGTGACTTTATTCCTGAGCCCATGTGCTTCAAGTTTGCTGTGGGGTTACAAACGAGTGAGGATAAGATGGGGGTGTTAGAGGTCTGGTCAAACTCTGGACTGAAGAGCCAAGAGTGACGGGAGCTCCTACATGCGCTAAGTATTGGAACGTATGCTCTGTGTAGCTTTAGAGTTCTAGAGTCATGGAGCTGTTCAAGTGCTCAGAATGGAGTTGTTCGAGTGCTCAGAATGTCTAAAGCTAGCAGAGTGAGAGTCGGAATGATCCGTTCTTTTTTTGGAAGAGAGCGCATCCCCTTTTATAAATGAAGGGACATATAGAGAGAGAGAGAGAGAGAGAGAGAGAGTGCCCCTGTCTTGTTGCCCACGCCGTCGGTTACAAGACAGTTTGTCGGCGCCCACAATACTGTTGACGCCCAGATGCATGTGGTATGCTCCGTCGTGTTCTTCTGGTATGGCAAATGTCAGCGCCTACCATACTGTAGGACAAATGTCGACGCCTACAACACTGTTTGTGTTCTGACATGTCTGGAAGGCTGCAAAGTACCCTTCTGGCATTTCCTGACAGTACTGTCCTGCGGGTTTGCAGGGTACAGTCCTTGGTATTGCGGTTGACTTGAGCGCCTTACCTTATCTGCTCCGCCTGATTTCTTGGGTCCTCACCGAGCGGGCGTCTCTGGCCGGTCATTCCCAGTTAGCTCCGACCGTGCTGGTCGGAGAAGAGCCGTAAGCAGAGGTTCGGTGTATCCTCGGTCGGAGAAGAGGGTCGGAGTCAGAAGCGAGCGTCGTCCCCTCCTTAGCCAGGCCTTTCGGTCGGAGAAACGGGTCGGAGTCGGAAGCGAGCGTCGTCCCCTCCTTGGCCAGACCTTTTGGTCGGAGAAAGCGGGTCGGAGTCGGAAGCGAGCGTCGTCCCCTCCTCGGCCAGGCCTTTCGGTTGAAGACTGGATCGCTCTTCTGGCTTGTCGTTAGGTATTTGGGCCAGCCTAGGAGTTGTGCGTCGTTTGTATTGCCGTCCGCCGGGCCGAGCTTTTGATGGGAAGCGGGCCCATTAGGGACCCCGGGTTTATGAACCTGACAAAAGCCCCCGAGCCCCCGGGCGATTTGGATAGAATCGTTTGGGGGATTTTTCATTTTGCCAGCGGGTGCGCGCGAGCGCTCCCGGTGGGTGTAGCCCCCGAGCCCCCGGGCGATTCGGGTAGAATCGTTTGGGGGATTTTTTGACTTGCCAGCGGGTGCGCGCGAGCGCACCCGATGGGTGTAGCCCCCGAGCCTGCGTCTGACTGGTGAGTCGGTTGGAGATTGAGTACCTTGGTACTCTTTCCTGGGGCCGCAGACTTCTGTGTTTCTGCCGTTCGAGGTGTTTGCCCGTGTTTGTCCTGCCCGTGACCTACGCGGTCGGTTGATTTCCCGAGTCGGCGTCGGGCGACCTGAGCCCCTAAGCCCCGTTGGGCTTGGTAGGGTTTGTTCTAGTTCCGTGCGTTACCCCGTCCGCTGTTTTCGCAATCGGAGGGGCTGAGCTAACATCGCTTGCCTCGATGGCTCGAGTGACGTGCTTGGTGAGCTCACTAACGGGCGCGTTCGAGCAGAATCCGGGTCCGTCGTTCGTAACGATGTTGGCATCGCCCTCATGTGGCATTCCACTGCTCCCTAACTCGGCTCCCGGCAGATGTCCGGGTCATTCCAGAGATCGACTCAGGTGGACCACTAGCCTCCCCTCGATGGAGATTCTATGGGCATGGCTTGAGGTTAGGATCGAACGAGAAGGTCGAGATGACCCTGTCTGCTTCTGAGCATACCGGGCGAGGGCCACTAGGGCTCATCTGTGTTTTCTCCCCTGGCTCTATTTGACGTGAGGCGGCCTCGAGCCCTCTGCGGGCCGGCCTTCGAACCCCGGTCGGTCGTTGCTCATGTTAAATGAGGCAACTACCGCTTCACGACGCAAAACGAAGCGTTGTGATGTATTAATTACATATGCGATGTTTTGAATGTATGGTATGAATGAATGTGTGAATGCGTGTATGAGAATGGATGAATGAATGATCATGCATCAGAAAATAAAGAAAGATGGTTTGGTAAAGTTACCTTGATGACTCGAGTGACGGGTTTGAGGAGCTCTTATCAGATATGTCTGAATGGGATCCGTGTCCGTCATTCATGACGGAGTCGGCGTAGCCCGCATGGGGCATTCCACTGCCCCTTACCTGTCTCTTGGCAGTCGTCTAAGTCATCCGATCGACTTAGGTAGCCCGTTGGTCTCTCCTTGACGGAGATCCTATCGGTGGACCCTTCCAAAACCCTACCTGGGAAGACAGATGGTTGTTTGCATGCGATTGCACCTCATTTCTAGTGCCTAGGTTGCGGTAGTGGTGGGCCATGCCTAGGCGATGTCCCGTTTTACCAGGCGTCGTTTCGTCGGGCAGGGCGTGTCCCATCAGTCAGGACGCGTCCCACCGCATGCTTATCCACATTAAAATAGGGGAAGGGAGAGGGTTTTTCACCCCCAATCCTTTGCCTTTCTCCAACTGGTGGCTCTCCTCCTTAAATAGGGGAAGGGAGAGGGTTTTCGTCCCATTTGTTTGTCTTTCTCCATTTGCTGCCTCTCCTCATTCTTCCTTCTTGCCAAGTGCGTTCGTGTGCCGCGGCGGTTCCTAGGAGAGAGAGGGTAAAGCGAGGGAGAGGAGAACTCATAGATCCATTTGTGAATCCAGAGCGCGATGTTGAACTGGAGGCCATCCATCATAGATGAGGCGGTGCTGGCCGCCTTCGCCGAGAAGGGGCTGCTTCCATCGAAGGAGTGGCCCACTAGAGGGCTCCTGCACTAGGGGAAGCCGTTCCGCGACCTTAGGCCGATGAGGTTGTCTGCTTCCTTGCCTTCCACGAGCGCGGGCTAGGATATCCCATGCATTGGTTCCTAATGGGCTCCTCAATGAGTGGGGCCTGGAGCTGCAGCACCTCAATCCGACTAGGGTGCTGCACGTTGCCGGTTTCATCACCGTCTATGAGGCCTTCCTCAGGATGGAGCCGCACGTCAGAGGGGAAGCCGCTAGGACCGCACCGGTTGGGGGATTTGCCTTGCAGAAGAAGCCGAGGCAGCTAGGCTCCTACCCCGCATACTCCCCCTGTGACTCCAATCGGGGGTGGCATGGGGAGTGGTTCTACATAAGGAACCCAGCGGAGGCGCTGTTCTCGCCGTTCACCAGAAGAACGGCAGAGAGGCGGGAGAGCTGGTTGTGGGGGCCCTCCAACTGGTAGAACAAGCTAGAGGTCATCGAGGCAGAGCTCCAGAAGCTAGTGCAGCACGGCCTCGATGGGCTACGGGTGTTCCACACCTTCTTCCACCGTCGAGTCACCCTGCTGGCGGAGAGGATGTGGCCGATGTGGATGTACTTTGGCCCAATGGATCCCGACCGCGCGTCGCCAGAGGAGTTGGCAAAGGACAAAGTATAGAGTCAACTCGACCGGGTGCTACAACTGAGGGCCCAAGAGTCCCTCGAAGGAAAGCCCGGACCTCTCCACTCCGGGAAGCTATCCAATCTGGTATGTTCCCCTCTTCTTATTCCATGTCTTTTTCCCTTTTGATCTCCTGTATTTCGACTTCGAGTCGTCCGTTTCGTATGGACTCGCCGGTTACAAATACCGGCCGCATCTTCCAAGGGGGCTGGAGGGCGCAGCTCGGCAAGCCGCTCTGAAAGAGGCAGCGGTTGCCAAAAAGAAGAGAGCTGCGAAGGCCTGTAGGAGGCACGAGAAGGAGAAGGAGATCGCCCGGCGAGTGCGGGCTGGTGAAAACTGGAGCGATGTGGAGGCGGAGCTCGAGTCGGAGGAGCCCACGGAGATGGGTGGTGATGCGAGTACCTCCGAGGATGAGGGAGACAGGGGCGTCGTCGTG